TATATGCTGACGAAGAACTCTCCTCCTCCTCTGATAACAGGAACCAGAGCAGAGGCCCATCCGCCCAATCTCCCTCTACCTCGAAGGACCCTCAAGAACAGGCAAAACCGCCTGGGCCAGAAGCCTTGGACGATACAATTACTTCTCCGGCAGAATAAGCTTCAAGGACTACGACCAAGACGCCGTCTACAACGTGATAGACGACATCAAATACTCGACAGTACCTACCAAATTAATGAAAAATTTAGTAGGATGCCAGAGAGATTTCCATGTAGTTGTTAAGTTCCAACCAGATCTCACTATTAGAGGAGGAATTCCTTGTATTTTATTAACAAATGAGGACAGTAGTTGGTTAGATGCAATGTCCCCAAAAATGAGAGAATAGTTTGATGTTAATGTAACCACTGTCATAATTAATGAAAAATTTTATTAACTTTATTTATGAAACCACTCAAAGTTTTATTTACTTACTACATTTCCCTTATCATCCACAATTACATCTTGATTCACATCACTATTTTTTACACTGATGATTACATTTCGTAAAACATTAGAAAATTCTGCTGCATCCATAACAACTGATCCTCTACGATCAACTTCCTCTTTGCTAACACCAACCTCTGAAATCGACGGACCAGGATCAACATCACTAGATTCATCACCACCTCTGCGTACATCAATCTCTGACAAACTCAGACGACCTCTGCGTTCATGAATGACTGAACCACTTTCCCCAAAACCTCCTAACAACAAATCTCTTCGCCTCTCCGGTAAACCAACAGACTTAGTCCGTGTCAGAATCGGAATAGCCTTCGTTGGAGGACAATGCCAGACATCAACATTGTCATTAGTGTATTTTTTAGATAGCACAACAATAGAGGGGGACCTCATTTGCGAATCTTCTGGCATGTCACTCGTAGAATACTTCAGATATCCCTTCATTTTACAATACATAACCCCCTTTTAATATTGGAATTTTCAAGTTGATACTTCACCATCCATGGCACCTGTTTGTCGTTAATTGAACAATAACCATTCCTCGGCCCAATTTTCCCAAAAATTACCCTCTCATATGTGTGTATTACTTTAGTTGTCTTCATGAAAAAAAAAATGTATTAAACTTACAAGTATTTAACTTAACGCAAGTATTTAACATAATCCGTTTTACTTTGAATCAAATTCACTAAGTATTTAACTTAACCCACAAAAATCTATTTAACATTTCGTTATAAAAAATTAAAAACAAAATTTGTACCATTCAAATGTAGTATATTTGTTGTGTGATTATAAAAAGAAAGGGATTGTTTTTTGCATATTTTTTTTTTTTTGAATATTTATAGTTCCTAATTAAAAGAAAAATTTGAAAGACTTGGCATTTTAACATTTATGTGTAATATGGCAAGAGAGTTTATGATTTTTTTTTTTTTTTTTTGGCACCGTTTTAAGGGAGTATAGTATTCTATGTTGTATTTCAAAAAATTCTGGTCAATGTATATATGTGTGTATTACTTTAGTTGTCTTCATGAAAAAAAAAATGTATTAAACGTACAAGTATTTAACTTAACACAAGTATTTAACATAATCCGTTATAGATATCCTACAAGTATTTAACTTCACCAAGTATTTAACTTAACCAAAAAAAATGTATTTAACATTTTTTTATAAAAAAAAAATTGTACCATTCAAATGTAGTATATTTGTTGTGTGATTCTAAAAAGAAAGTGACTGTGTTTTTTCATTTACGTTTTTTTTTTTTAAAAGACTTGGCATTTTAACATTTATGTGTAATATGGCAAGAGAGTTTATGTTCCTTTTTTTTCTTTTTTCCACCTTTTTAAGGGAGTATAATATTCTATGTTGCATTTCAAAAATTCTGGTCAATGCATATGTGTGTATTACTTTAGTTGCTTGATGAAATAATTATTCATTACTGCTTATAAAATGGCTTTCTTATGTGGTGAATTTTTTTTTTTTTTTTTTTGGGCATAAATTTATGTTTGGACTTTCCAAGTCATAAATGGTGAATTTCAAAATATTTATGATTATAATGGGTTTTAATTTTGGTTTTAATTTCATCTCTATAAAATTGAAGTCAGTTAAGAAAGAGAAAAGTTCAAATTCAGACAATTATTGTGCTCGAGTTTTAATTTATCATTTTAATGTGATTGTTACAAAACATCTATTCTAAATGCTGGGTTGACTCAGAAAATGTGAGTTTGATTGTGGGTTTCTCAAAGAATGTAGGGAGAGAGAGAGAGAGATAGATAGATAGAGAGATAGATATAGAGATAGGTTATTTGGGACTTGGTTTGTGATTAGTGCTTTGTATTGTACAAATTAGTCTGATAGGGAAGAAACTGTTTGTTTGGAGCTATTTATTTAGTTGATCTTCCTGAAACAAAAAAATTAAACTCACACTCAAAAAAAATTATTTAACATTTTATTTGTTGTGTAATATATTTATTTAGTTGTACCATTCAAACGTAATATATTTGTTGTGTGATTTTGGTTTTAATTTCGTCTTTATAAAATTGAAATTAGTTAACAAAGAGAAAAGTTCAAATTTAGACCATTTTATTGTGCTCCAGTTTTAATTTATCATTTTAATGTGACTGTTAAAAAACATCTATTCTAAATGCTGGTTTGACTCAGAAAATGTGAGTTTGATTATGGGTTTTGCAAAGAATGTAGAGAGAGAGGAGGAGGGGGAAGGGACTGTTTGTTTTGAGCTATTTAAAAAGAAAGTAAGGGTGATTTATTTCGTTGATCTTCCTGCAACAAAAAAATTAAACTGACACTCAGAAAAATTTATTTAACATTTTATTTGTTGTGTAATATATTTATTTAGTTGTACCATTCAAATGTAATATTTATTTGCTGTGTGATTCTAATGTACAGATGATAAATATTTTTCATTTAATTTTTTTGTGAATATCTAAAGTTCCTAATTAAAAGAAAAATTTGAAAGATTTGGCATTTTAATATTTTTGTGTAATATGGCAAGAGAGTTTATGTTTTTTTTTTTTTTTGCACCTTTTTAAGGGAATATAATATTCTATGTTGTATTTTAAAAATTCTGCTCAATCCTTATGTCTGTGCGTATTACTTTAGCTGTTTTCATGAAAAAAAAATGTATTAAACTTAACGCAAGTATTTAACATAATCTGTTTTGTTTTGAATCATATTCACCAAGTATTTAACTTAACCCAAAAAAATGTATTTAACATTTTGTTATAAAAAAAATTTTAAAAAAAATTGTACCATTCTAAACAAAGAAGGCACGTGCCTCTGGTATCTGTTGACCTTTTTCTTTTTCTTAGAAGTTTATATTTTTATTTATTTCTTTTCCTCTTGATTATAACCCGTTAAGTATTTTCTATTCATGGTAGTTATTTATTTAAATAAAATTTTGAATTTTATTATTCGATTTGGTAGCAACATATTTGGAAATAACATTTCATTGCCAATGAAATCCATGTTAACTTTTATTATTGCTAATTTTTTGTTTCTTTGTGTCTAAAATTATATAACCAAACATTTTTAGGTTGAAGTACAACAGTTATGAACAATATCACTATTTTTGGTCAAGTAAGTTTTTTTTCTTCTTTTTTCTCTTCATATAAATTTAAGTATCTCTCTTATAAATTTAAGTACAACAGTTATGGACAATATTACTATTCTAATTTTTTTTCCCCTCATACTTTATAGGTGGATGGGGACTTACACCGAACCGTAATATCACCTCCCCTTACTAATTTTCTTATTTATATGTGTAAAGTTTTATTTATCACTCTAAAGTTTTTGTATGTATAGGTTCAATTTTTTCAAGAAAGAAATGTTAATGTTGTTATTCGCGATGAGCGTAACCTTAATACTATTCGCATTCATGAGGTAAGCCTAAAAGTCACTTGAACATTGGACATGTATTTTCTTATCATTTTAAAAATAATTTATAAATATATTCTACTTATTCTTTATAGGCAAAGGCAAAGGAAACAAAAAAAGCTATTCCTTATGGCAAAGGAAAGGAAAATGCACATCCCATGGTATGGGTTTTCAACAATTTTTTCGAATATTATATAGATTTTTTTAGGAATTGCATAGTGTCATATACTATTTTTTATGTACATTTTTCAAAAGTTTCTTCTTCAAAAATTTATTCAATTCTTTTTATTGAATGTGAAATGTTTTTCTGAAGCATGTTAAAGTAAGCATTTGTACAACATGCTAATGCATTTGTATGAACATTAATTTAAATTTTTAATATGTTTGTCTATTTGTATGATAAAAATATGTTGCATTTGTACAATATGTTGCATCTACAACATAGCATAATAAAAATATAATAGAAGAAAACGAAAAAGGAAAATAAGAAGAAAGAACAAATATGTGATGAACAGGAAACTACATAATATAATTTTTTTTAATTTTTATTTTTCTTATAAGAAGTTCTTAAGGAAAGAAGAAAAAGACAAAAATGCATTTTAATATAACGGAAACAACAAGAAGAGAGAAAAGGAAAGTACAAAACATTACACGCTAATATTCACATTTTACGTACCCAATGATCTAATATTTACCTTTTCAACGTACATTTTGTAAAGAGATGGGTAGTGTCTTAAAACCAATAAGTGCGTGCATAGTGAGTTTGCAGTTTTGTGTGCTTAATGTGTTTTCAAATTATTTTTCCCTTCCATTTTAAATTTCATAAATACATGCATTAGTTCTTATATGACTAACAACTTAACCGAGTGAAGAGGAAAAGTTAGTTAAAAGGAAAAAAAAATACATGATGAAAGGGAAGCAAGTTAGTTAATCTTCACATTTTATGCACCTTCTTATATAATATTCTCATTTTAGGCACACAATGATAATGTGTTATCAAAAGCTGCATTGGCCCAACGTGCACGGCGAGAACGTGAAAAAAATCAAAAGTCATGTTCTGCATACCAATTGGGACAACGCCTGCGACGAGAATGAGAAAGAGAAAGATCGAACGAATGAATTAACCCAAGACAACCTTCTTTAACACCAAATTGGTAAAAAGAAAAAGAATTTTTTACCCAAGACAATCTTGAATTTTTTACTCTTACTATTACCACTTTGTTATATAGATTTTAATTTGTTCACAATCTATTTCTGTAGGCCTCCTCCTACAACTCCATGTAGAAATGTTGGTGTGGTCATCCGTGATGAGCACGACCTTAATGTTATCCGTGTTCGTGCGGTAAGTACAAAATCAAGTCAAACATTGTATGTATTTTATTTATATAAGATTTTTTTAATCTTTTCAATATTTTATTTATATTTGTTAGGCAAAAGATAAAGAAAATGTCAACCCAATGTCTAAAGGAAAAGAAAAGATGGGTCCTTCCGGCAAGAGAATGACAAATGCATGTCAAGTGGCATATATTCTTTTTTAAAAATATGTTGCAAAACTAATCAAAATTTTGAATAGTTAAAATATATGAGTCTATAAAATGAATTTATTGTTTTATGTTGTTTTTGTAGAATGATCGTAATATGTTTTCCTGTAACTTGCTATTATTTGTATGTGTTTTTCAAATTTATTTATTCTTATTTTGCATGGATACATGTGCATTTATAATGTACCATCCATAAGTTGGTACTTATATAAAGAGAATAGGAAAAAAGAAATGAAGAAATAAAGAAAAAATATATAAAGTAAGGAGAAACTAAATAAGATATGTTTTTAATTCTTATTTAATATATAAAATAGAAAACAAAGAAAGGGAAAGGGAAAGGGAAGAAATAAGAAGATACAAAGGGAAGAAATAAGAAAAAAAAGGGGGTTATATAACACTATTAAAGGTATAAAACAAATAAAATAGAAAACAAAATTAAGAGAAATGGAAGAAATAAGAAGATAGTTTCATTTTAAGCACAAAATATTCACATATTTTGTTTCAATGATAAAATATTTTCTTTTTAGGCACAAAATGATAATGTAATATCAAAAGCTGCATTGGCCCAACGGGCACGGCGAGAGCGTGAAAAAATTGAAATTCAATGCTTGCAACGAGAGCAAGAGGGATTAGAAGAATGTGTTCACCTAAGACAACGTTCTTTAACACTAATTCGTCGCGATCGCACTCACTTGGAGTGGGAAACAATAACTGAAGATTTTCAGTCAACACAAAAACGAACAATGGTTACCCATCATTCTACATGTTCGTTTTCTATGCCAAGCACATCTTCAAATTCACAAAGGAATCGGTAAACTACTGTGTCTAATCTTGAAATACATACTTTTACTCATACCGTTTTGTTTTACAAAATTTTATTTATACACAAATATTCATAGGTCTACTCCTATAAATCGATTTCTTCAACAAGATCTATGTACTGATAATGAATTAGAAGATCTTCCTACGAGTATATCAATTAACGCCCGGCACACAAAGATTCTTGCCGCCATTATCTTGGCAAGATGGATGTATTATGTCCTTATTGTTCAGCCTTACATTGGATGGATGAAAAATTGACAAAATCATCTATAAAGCGTCCCTTAGTCGGAACTTGCTGTTTGGAAGGAAAGATTAGGCTACATTTACTTATTACACCCCCCCACCACTTCAGGCATTGTATGATGGGAATAATGATCAATCAAAATCCTTTCGAAGTTATACTCAAGTGTACAATGCAGCCAATGCTTTTACGAGTCTTGGTGCTACATTGGATCCTAGAGTACTCAGTGGAAGGGGCCCTACATCATTCACAATTCATGGGGAATTGCGACATCGAACAGGATCACTACAACCACAACCAGGGCAGGATGCGAGTTATGCTCAGCTGTATATCTATGACCCTTATTCAGCTTTAGAAATTTGTAATCGTAGAAATCCTAACTTGAGAAGGGATGTTCTCAAAACTATTCAGGACAGTTTGTTGCAAGTCAATGCATTTGTAGATAAATATCGCCAGGCTCATGGCATTTTACATCAATTAGACTCGGCAGGACACAATCTACCTGCTCATCTTCATTACAGTTCAACAACTGCGACGTCGGTATAACCTACCAACTACAGATGAGATTGCAATTGTAATACCAGGTGATGGAACAGAGGTAAATGGAATAAGAGATATTAATTTACATTTCCAAGGAAATAATGAGTTGATGCAAATTAATGAATGTCACCCAGCATACTTGCCATTACATTATGTTCTATTATTTTCATATGGTGAGCTTGGATGGGAACCTGAGTTGAAATTGTGGAATGTTCAGTATGATCGACCTTCAACTAATCGACTTACTCAAATGAATTTTTATAGTTATCGTTTGTTTGAACGACCCACAGAGTATTCAACAATTTTGAGAGGTGGGACACTATTTCAAGAGCTTTTGGTAGATGCTTGGGCTGCAACTGAGCAAAATCGATTGACATATTACAAGCTTAATCAAGGGAAACTTCGGGCTGAGCTTTAGCAAGAGTTGTCAGATATGGATCCAGATTATGTGCGACCTGGACAAATTGGTCAAAGGTTTGTTTTGCCATCTTCATTTACTGGTAGTCCTAGACATATGTTTGAAATCTTTCAAGATTCAATGGCTAGCACACGATACAACCAACACCCAAATATTTTTCTTACCATGACTGCAAATCCCAATTGGCCAGAAATTACTTCAGCATTATTACCATATCAAAAACCTATTGATCGTCCTGATTTAATTGCCCGTGTTTTTGAGTTGAAGAGAAAATGTTTGATGAAGGAGATAGAAACAAATAAAGTGTTTGGAAATAAAGTTGCACATGTTTTTACAATTGAATTTCAAAAACGAGGCCTCCCTCATATGCATGCCCTTTTATTTCTCAATGGTCCAGACAAAATTCGGACATGTGCTCAAGTAGACAAATTGGTCTGTGTAGAATTTCCAGACCCAAAAGAAGATCCTATACTTTTTGAAACTATCAAATGTTGTATGGTACATGGACCATGTGGTGCTCGAAATCTGCAAGCATCATGTATGGAAAATGGTAGATGCACTAAGAGATACCCTCGAGCTTTCACAGAAACAACAACTATGGATCAAGATAGATACCCTATCTATCGTCGTCGCAATAATGGTCAAGTACATACTGTGAGAAGGCAAGAAGTTGATAATAGGGATGTCGTACCATACAATGCATATCTTTCAAAACTTTTCAACTGTCATATAAATATGGAAGTTTGTGCCGGAATGAGATGTGTCAAGTATATACATAAGTACATTTATAAAGGTTATGATCGTACAACGATGGTGGTAGGAATGATAAATGAGATTCAACAATATCTCGATGCAAGGTATATTGGACCTCCAGAAGCTGCTTGGGGAATATTTGGTCATCCTTTGCATGCAGAGATGCCAACAGTTGTATGATTGGCACTTCATTTACCTAGATTGCATCGTGTTATTTTTAATCCAGAAGAGTCATTACAAACAATTCAATCCAGAGCTGGTCAACAAATGTCAACTCTTACTGGCTTCTTTGCATATTGTGCTGCCAGTGAAGATGAATGTCCGTGCACTTATCAAGAATTTCCACAACATTTTGTTTGGCTCAAGTCAGAAAAGAGATGGAAATCAAGAGAAATGGGATATGCAATTGGTAGAATGTACTTTGCTAGCCCTAATTGTGGTGAAAGATTTTATCTACGTTTGTTACTAACCGTTGTCAAAGGACCAAAGTCGTTTCAGTCTTTACACACGATCGATAATGTTGTGCATGATACATTTAAATTAGCATGTGTTGCAAGGGGGCTTTTAGAAGATGATGAAGAATGGATACAATGTTTGAAAGAGGCTGCAGTCATAAAAATTGGATATCAATTGAGGAGATTGTTTAGTATTATTCTCACCCAGTGCTCTCCACTAAATCCATGTGCATTATGGAATCAATTTTCAACGCATATATGTGATGATCTTGCACATAAGATTTGTACATTGTTTGTCATTTCTAAACCAACTGAGGCTCAAATTGAAGATTATGGTCTCCATCTTTTGAATCAAATGCTTCATGAATCAGGCAAAAATTTAATTGACTTCCCACCCATGCCACAACCTACTGCAAATTAGAGTGCAGTAGTTGGTAATCGATTGATAGTTGAACATCAACAGCTGCAGAGTAAGGCACAACATACAGATCTACAAATTACTATTGATTGTCTCAATAATGGGCAGCGGAATGCTTATAATACAATCACTTCTTCAGTTTTCCAAAATAAAGGAACTGTTTTCTTTCTGAATGGGGGTGCAGGAACAGGGAAAACATTTCTATACAATACGATTGCATTAAAATGTCGTAGCCTTGGGCATATCGTTGTTACTGTGGCTTCGTCTGGAATTGCATCACTGTTACTGGTAGGAGGTCGCACTGCATATTCAACATTTTCCATTCCGTTAGATGTATTGGAAAATTCACTTTGTGGGTTTAGCAAACAATCATTACAAGCTGAGTTATTTAGAGAAACAAAACTCATAATTTGGGATGAAGTTCCTATGCAACATAGACATTGTGTTGAGGCGGTTGATTGTACATTGAGGGATATTTGTGATAGTGAAAAGCCATTTGGGGGTATTACTGTTGTTCTTGGAGGAGACTTTCGACAAATCTTACCAGTTATACCCAAAGGAGTTCGTGAGCAAATTGTGAATGCATCATTAAGACACTCTGTTCTATAGAAGCATATATATATCTTGACTTTGGATTTGAATATGCGCTTGAATCATGAAGGCCATGAAAATGCTAATTTTGCAAATTTCTTGATGGAGGTAACACTACTTTAACCTGTATTATATAGATTATTTTAAATTAATAAATTGTGTTTACACTTACTTTTTTATTGATTTCACTTTTTTTTAGATTGGGACCAATCCTCAAGAAATTGTTAACCTTCCATCAATAATACACAAATGTCAAGATTTGAATGAATTACTCTCTACAGTTCATCCACAACTGAATATGATAGAGACGTCAACCCCAACATTTTTAACTGAATGCACAATTTTATTTGCGCATAACGATGATGTCAGTGACATTAATACTACTTTGTTGAATATCTTTCTAGGGAGATTATATACTTATCTTGCAGCAGATAAAATGTCTGAAGATAATGAAATTGATCCTACCATTACAAATAGATATCCTAATGAATATTTAAATTCATTGGATCCTCTTGGGTTGCCAACTTTTAAGTTAGAGTTGAAAGTGCGTTGTCCTATAATATTGTTGAGAAATATTGCACCAAAAGATGGACTATGTAATGGTACAAGATTGATGGTTACTAGGTGCGGCACTCGCATAATTGAAGCTCAAATTTTAACTGGAGAAAAGTTTTGACAATTTGGCATTCATACTAAGGATATCTTTGACACCATCTTCTTCAGAAATGCCTTTCCAAATGACAAGACGTCAATTTCCAGTCTG